ATTATAAATATTTTTCTCTTTATATTTTAGGGCTACTAATATAGTTTTCCATTTAATATGAAGTGGGATACAAAATATTTATATACTTTAGAAAATAAATATTCATGTCGTCATCTGCCTATTATAATCTCAATATGTACCAAAAAAAAGTATTTTTTTTGTTCATTACAAGTTAGTATTAGTCAAAGCTAATGCTAGTACCTATAGATAAATATTAGTTTTCACATTAACAATCTTAAGCATGCATTATTTGATTGTGTTTTTAGTGTTAATAATTATTTAATTCTGAAATATTTTAAGAACCCATTGACACATCAACCAATACAAATAAAAACTTCATTGCGACACTTAATTCAAAATCACTGGGCCGATAAATTCTTCAAATGAAAGCAATTGTAGAGTGCTTAATATTTAGGAAAAATTCACCTAATTAGAAAAATATTTCTACTAAAGTGCATTATACTTTTAAATAATTATATAATCTCTTTTTATCGTTCTTTGTCTTTCCCGCTCTCCCTTCTTACTGCTCAATCATGACGATACTTAGAAGCAATTGATAAATGTATCAAAGCATATATTAAGACCAAATACATGAATTTATCGGTCTATATTTTGATTTCAATCAGATATACCTTCTGTTAGTGAACCTTCAAAAATAAATAATTAAAATTGGATTAATTAATCAATGGAAAAGTAATCTATATTAAAAACAGTAACCGAGTAACAAACATTAATCGCCACAATGTAATGAATTAATTAGTTGAATTTCCAAATTTTTATCCTTCTTCTTTTTTTTTTTAGATGAAAAATAATAAAGAAACAAAGAGTCTATAAAGGTAAAATTAATGAATAGTCAAATCAAATTGGATTAGTTAATTTATATATTCTAAATGAATGGCATAACTATAACAAGTTAATATCTAGAGTTTACTTTTTTCTTCTCTTTTCATTGTCATGACAAAGAATAGTATAACTATAACAACTTTTCTGAATTAATTAAATTATTGAGTAAACTATCACCTTTGATCTCTTTCAATCATAAATCCTTTAAACTCACTCTTATTCTCACCAATATTGCATCGTCTGAAGCTCAACCAATAAATTACGACCACATGCAGATGATCATACAATGGCCTCCAACCTTTGGCAACTTGGATTGTGAAATTTGATAGTACACTTGCAAAAAGGTACAACTTTAGATTCTGAATTCAACAAATTGGAAGCCTTGATCTGTTAGCCCACAATTCATTGAGTGATAAAACATTTTTTTGTAGTTAGGTGGTGGTTGAACGCTGGAGTTACGACGATAATCGGAGGAGGAATGATGCTCATTAATTTACTCCTCATTTCTCTTTGTCTATAGATAACTTGTTTGGCTACATATATTTGAAATTAAAATATGCAGATGACGACGTAAATATTTATTTCCTCAAGAATATAAATATTTTGTATCCCGCTTCATATTAAAGTGGAAAACTATAGTAGTAGCCCCAAAGTATAAAGAGAAATTTTTTTATAAATTTTTAAATAGGGCCTTATAATATGCATATTTTATCTACATCGTGGAGGTAGCTAGAAGTTGCTCGTTAATTTACTCTTCATTTCTCTTTATCTATTTATTTTATTAATTAATTCAGAAAAGTTGTTGTTGGCTATTTATGAATATATTTGTCATGACAATGAAAAGAGAAGAAGAAAAAAGAAAACTCTAGCTACTTTAAATATTAACTTGTTATAGTTATACCATTCATTTAGAATAAATTATCTAATCAAATTCGATTTGATAATTCATTAATTTTACCTTAATCGACACTTTGCTTCTTTAATATTTTTCATCTAAAAGGAGAAAAGAAAAAGAAGGACAAAGATTTGGAGATCAACTAATTAATTCATTATATTGTACCTAGTAATGTTTGTTACTAGATCGGTTGTTGTCTTTAATATAGATTACTTATTTACTCATAACCAAATATGTCTATGCACACTAGTCAACTATTTCCATCTACGAAAAAGAGTAAAAATGTCACTAATGAAATCAACAAAAATGCATTTAGTTGGATAGTTTGGTTAAATAGAAGAAATATATTTAAAAAATATTTATACTACTTCAAATAAGACAATAGTGTCACGTGACAAACAGGTTTTTGGGTATATGATTATAAATTTCCGCAGTATTAACCTTTTATTCTCGTTTTACTTTTGCATCCACCGTATTAGTTGGTTTTTAGGCTGACTTGTCTTGGTAGGATAAGACGATTGCCATCACGTCCATTTTTCATGCTGATCACAATCATCAATAACTTAGAGTATACAAACAAAATTACACGTGATAATCTCATATTGCACCTAATTAAATAGGTTACAAGCTAGAATGAACCATAAATAAATAATATGTAAATGTTATCCAATATGCTTTAAGCTCTATTTAAAATAATTAAAAAAGAAAAAAAAAAGCTCTATTTAAAATTTAATATTTGACCGACACTTTTGTCATACAAGGATTGAGATGGAGCTCACTATTTCCTTGTTGTTTAATTGTTACTAAGCTCTCTTTATAATAGTAAACCCACAACCATCACCATTTGAATGTGACTTAAGGCTCGGATGACGAAATTCAAGAAGCACTGTCTTTTTGTTCTAACATTATACGAGACCAGCCGAAAACTTTTAGTTACCAAAATCACAGAGATGTCATAACATGACTTAATAGGTGTAGTGCAATGAAAGGTCACAAGTTTGTTCGAAAGGTCGGGTTGTATCATTACCCATACATCAAAAACAAACTTGTCGACTGAGTTCAAGATGGCAATGGAGTCATCAAGTGAGATCAGATTCAGTCTCAAACTATTAACGTGGTGACCATCCGGTGGCCCTTCCATCTTTACAAACGCCTCATCCCTAAATTTAAATGAAAGAATGTATAATGCTCTTTAGACGTATTTTATATGTGCTATTATGATGCTCCTCTGCAAGCCACAAATTAATGCTAAAACAAATCCAAACCATTTGAGTTATAAAAGAGATATGTAAACTTGAATGCATGCTATATAGAGTATGATACTAAGGCTAATTGCCTAAAAATAATAAAGAAGTAAGATGTCGATTAGACAAGTTACTGTAGATGAATGAGATAACAAGTTAATATTAAAAGTGGCTAGAATTTTCCTTTTACTTCTCTTTTCAGCTGCCTCGACGACTATCTTAACATTAACAATGCAAGAGCTATAAGGAACATTTTATATCTAACAATGTCAATAACAGATGCAGCACAATGCAACATTCATTAAAAGATACTTAGGATGAGCCACTTTAATAAAAAATAATAATATTAAAATGCTCACAATCACCAACAACTTAATTATAGAGTATACAAACAAAAATACTCTCATATTGCACCTAATTAAATAGGTTACAAGCTAGAATGAACCATAAATAAATTTTAAAAAACCTGTAAATGTTATCCAATATGCTCTAAGCTCTTATTGAAATTTAATATGTGGCCCTTGTCATACAACGATTGAGATGGAGCTCACTATTCCCTTGTCGTTTAATTGTTACTAAGCTCTCTTTATAATAGTAAACC